TATATATATATATATATATATATATATATATATATATATATATATATATATATATATATATAATAGAAGCATTTTTTCTCAAACCACATTTATTTGAAACCCTCTTTTTTAACTTCCTCAAACCACATTCATTTGAAATCCCATTTTTTAACTAATGCAACTCAAAAGTTTTCTTAATTATGATTTAACATTCAAAAGTTTTATAACTTATATTATGTTTAATAAACATTTAGTGAAAAGTTTACTATGAAAAGGTCAATCTTTTGGGAATACATGCATACAAATCATATATAGATTTCATAAAGAAAACAAATTTAAAGGTTTTTATGTTAGGTTGAGGTCTTATGAAACTTTTGGAGATATGCTATTATATTAGAGCTTTTAATTTGTAAGTTTGTTATACTAATTTGTTTTTATATTTTCTTCGTTTCTGGATTATTGTAATAAAGTCGTTGTATATTGTGGTTTAACCGTTAATATATTGATCATATATTATATAGGGTGATGTGGAAAATATTTAATTAAATATTTTAAATATGTTTTTTTTTTTGTTTTGTAATTGTACCGTTTCAAAAAGATAATTAATTAAAAGCATGGTTGCAGAAATCGGGATTAATCGGTGATTAATCGCTTGGCGTTCTCCAACCGTCGAGGATTAGGGCATTAATCGGAAATTTAGGATTAATCAGGTTTGGCGGGATTAATCGGTCAACAAAAGTCAAAAAAGTCGAAAAAAGTCAAAAAAAAGTCAAAAAATGTCAAAGAAATTTAAAAAAATTTAAAAAAATTTTAAAAAATTTAAAAAAATAAAATTCAAAAAACCAACTTTTTTTACTCCAAAATTTTCAAAATTTCAAAACACGGTAATAATTATGCCAATTCTGCATAAAAATCTCTTCAGGTGAGCAAGAGGGCCCCTTTTTCAGTAGATGAGATTAGGATGAAAGGTATTATCTCAACGATGCTTTTCTCTGGCTTGCTTTTCAAAATTTCATTTTGGCCTGCTTTTCTCTAGCTCATAATTTTTTTTCTATGAAAGCAAGAGATGGAAAGTTTTGTTCTAAATTATGCCTTATTCCATGAGATCTAGAAGCACTTCTGCAACTTTATCTCTCTCCATTTCCCTAACTTTTTTTTACTTCTTTAAAAGGGGAATGAAGACCTTCCTTAGAAGTTGTCGCTCGATCGAAAGGATATAATACATACAAAACCTTAACTTCGCGGACTTTCCGAGCGATTTCCTTGTTCTAGTACAAGACGTAAGTTTCGAATATTATACCAAAATGTTCATATTTTCGTATTTCAAAATTTCCAAATTACAATTTTTCTTATTTTCTAATTTTGAAGTACTTGTTTTTCTTAAGATATATTAATATTTAATTAATTTTAATATTTTATTAATAATCTATGGTCCCTGATTAATCCCTGATTAATCCCCGCCAAGAGTGATTAATCCCTTAACACCAGTCGATCGTCGAGCTACCGTCGAACGATTTTTACAACCTTGATTAAAAGTCATACATGTGTTATACTTTCCATTCTCTCTCTCTCTCTCTCTCTCTCTCTCTCTATATATATATATATATA